TAAGTGGGGGAGAGAAAAAAAAAAAGGAAAAGAAGAAATAAAGAAAAAGGTAGTTCTTTCTTGCGCTCATGCCGCAGAGCTTGGAGCTCTTCCCGGCCGCGTTCCCGTTGGAGAATACGGGAAGAACTGCTAAATAAGGGTTCTGCGGCCGAGAAGTGTCCGGTTTCTGGCAGAATCCCTTTCTCGGGGGCGCCCCGTTCCCGCCGCGCGGCTCCGTGTCCGGAGGCTGCGCGGGAGCCGCCGGGGAGGATGTTCCCCGCGGGTGCAGTACAAAGGTACCTTGTTCTAAAAGGGAGGGGAAAAAAAAAAAAAAAAAAAAGAGCAAGATATGCATCTCGCAGACTGTAGATTTGCGAGCTCCTCGGGGCACCTCCGAGAAAGGAGGTGTGAGAAATGCGGCTACCGCCGTCACCCCGCTCGGAGCCGGGAGCGGCTGCGCTCCCGCCGCGGCTCCCGCGTCGCGTCTCGCCGCGTCCGAAGCCGAAGCGAGGATTAAATTCCCGCGCGGGATTCACCTGGCCCGTGCGCGGCTTTTCGGGAGTGTCGCTGTAGGAATTCTCGGGAGCCTCCGCTCCTCGCCCGAGCGGCCCGGGATCCACTCGCATCTGAGCGCCCTAAATCAAAGCGAGGGGAGCGCGGCCCCGAGCGGCGGCGCCCGGGCCGGGCGGAGGCGGCAGCAGCAGCGGCGGCCCCTGCGCGCCCGCCGGGCCCGGCGCGGGGGGCGGCTCGGGGAAATCGCTGCGATGCAGCCGCCCCTCGAGCCGGAGCCTACACGGGGCTCCGTGGAGGATCGCTCCCCCCTTTCCCAGCTCCCCGCGCAGCCCGTTGCATTTGCTCCGAGTTTATAATGGCAAGCTAAGACTGCAAGAAAATAAAGTTTCCTTCATTAAAATTAAAAAAAAAAAAAAAAGAGGGGGGGAGGAAGCTCAACCAAAGTAGCTGACCGCGAAGCTCCTTAAACCCACGGCAGCTCCGGCGGCGGCTCGACCAGGGCCACGCGGCGGGCGCATGAGCTGCTCTCGGTTGTTCACCTCTCCCGGGTAGGCAGGAGCTTTTGCCGAGGAGAAGCCCAAGCGGCGAGAACCCCCGGCCCGGCCCAGCCCACAGGAGCCGGTTCCCAGGCAGTGGAAACCCCGAGCCTGCCGGAGCCACTGAAGAAGCCGTGTCTTGTATCCCCTTCCCGTGGTCACCCGGGCCGGTCACCGCCTGCGCCCCGGACGGGACCGGGACCTGTCCGTCTCCTTCAGCGGCTGCAGGCGGCCTGGACGGGGGCCTCTGTTGAGTCCCTGGATGGGACGTGCGGGGAGACCGAGAGCAAACGGGGGCTCGAGACGCCTTCGGCTTTAACAGCCCCCTCCCCGCACCGTTCACCGGCCCTGCAAGCGGCGCGACCCATGGCAGAAATCACCGCGATGGACACAGCCCTTCCCACTCCCCGCCACCCCCACCCCATCTCACACACCAGCAGCAAGGAAAAGGCGCTAAAAGAAGCTTGTTAAATAATTTATTGATTTATACAAAGTCTTTCCAACCAGCGTGGAAACAGCGTTATCTCAATCCAATTTAAAATCAAGTGTCCATTTTTCGCCTCTTTTTTTTTTTTTTGATACCAAGCATAAGAGCCAGAGGCAGGAGAAATCAAACTGTCAAAACACTGTATTGAGAGAAGGAGGGTAGCGAAGAAAAACAGCCATTTTACACTAGAAATATACATCACAAAAATCTGAAATTTACTATATACAAACTGGCTGCGTTTGCATCTGGCGATCCATATAAAACAGTAACAAAATCTGATTGTTAGGAGCAGGGAAACGGCAAGGAAGCTAAAGGGAAAAATGGGCAAAACCTTTAAAGGATTCAAAACAAAAGCCGGGAAAAGTTGGAAAGATTCTTCTGAAATTTACATTGATGAGAAGGAAAATAATTTCATAACTTATTTTGTAAAAAATATATACATTTCACATACATCTTAGGCTGTACAACACACCACTTTAAACATCCAGTTGCAGCCGTCCGCGGCCGTGTCGCCCACTCCGGCCCATCGCCGAGGAGCCTGGCTTCGCCTCACAAGGTGTCCGAGCTGGTGCTGCAGGGGCTGACGAGGGAGAGGTTCGTGGATTTGTGCTTTTTCAATAGCCTCGTGATTTTCTCGTCGTCCGAGTTGGGGTCCAGGGGCTTGTTGTACTCGTCATCGTCCTCATTGTCCGAGCTCTCCTTCAGCTTCTCCGTCTCCGAGTCGTGTTTCTTCTTGGCCGAGGCCATCTCTGCCGCGTGCCTCTTCCGCCACTTGGTCCGTCTGTTCTGGAACCAGACCTGGCCGCGGGCAGCCCGCGCTCAGCGCGCGGCCGAGGAGGAGCAGCCGAGCAGCCGCTGCGCGTATAGGGGGCCCCGCCGGGACCTTCTTCCCACTGCCCGACATCCACGGAGCAGCGACGCGCGCACGCGGTAAGGGGATCGAGAGCCGCGCGCTGCTGCTTCCCGCGGCCCCCCGCGCGTAACGCGCCGGCCCGACGGGGGGTTGCGCGACTCGGAGCGCGCCGGTCCCGGGCACGGCGGATCAAATCAGCTAAGGGTCAAATCGGCTAAGCAAAATGCAACCTAAGACCTATCCCATATCCAAACGGAATTAAAATAAACGACCTGTGTTATCCCATACCCAAAAGGAATTTAAATAATAATTGACACCCCCCCCCAAAAAAATCCCTGACACCCGCAGTTTCGCGCGGCGGCCAGCAATGACTGGCGATGCGGGGAGGGCCAGGGGAGGCCCGACCCGGGGCGGCGGGGACCTACCTTGACTTGGCTCTCGGTCATGCCCAGGGAGTAGGCGAGCCGAGCTCGCTCTGGTCCCGCCAAGTATTTCGTCTGTTCAAAGGTTTTCTCCAAAGCAAAAATCTGCTGCCCAGAGAAAGTTGGCCGTGAGTGCTTCTTCTTGCCGTCCTTGTCCAAAACCATGCCCGTCTGAGCTGAAAGTGGAGGAGAAACAGCCGAGTCAGCCGCGGGCTCGCGTGGTTCCCAGCGCGGTGCGAGGTCTCCGCTCGCCGCTCACAAGCCGCAGGGGCCGCTCCGGGGTTGCCGCTGCTCGGACGCCGCTGCCCCGGGGCAGGATCAGGTTGGGGGCATCTCCGCGCCGTGCGGGACGCGGCGCCCTCCAGGCAGCGGGAGCGGCCGGTGCTCGCGCTGCCGTCGGGCCGCGGCCGCCCGCCCCATCCAGGCGCGCGGGGAAGCTCCGCGGGACTCGCTCCGCGCCCCGCCGGCCCTGCCGCACTTACCGGGACAGGCGAGCCGCGGGTCCCGCCACGGAGAGCCCTGCACCACTCCCGGCCAGAAAATGGGCGGTCTCCCCGGCAGCTCCGCCAGAGGCTTCGGGTAGCGGGACACGGCAGCGGGGTTGAAGTAGACGCCGGCCGAGGCCGCCAGCCCGTTGATGCGCGGCAGCCCGCCCAGGAGGTTGCCAGCGGCGCCCACGGGCCGCCCCAGGATGTCGCTGATGCCATGCGGCGTCCCGAGGGGCAGCTGCGTGCCCAGTCCGCCCAGCGCCGGCGCCTTGAAGCCAGCGGGCCCCTGCAGCGCGTAGGGGAAGAGCGAGCTCTTCATCTCGGCCATGTTGTGCAGCGCGGCCAGTGGCGCGCTGCCCAGGACGAACGCGCTCTGTCGGTTACCATCCATCTGTCCCACCGCGAGCATGAGCGGTCATGGGCGCGCCGGGCCCTCCTCCCGCCGCGCTGGCGCGGGCCGGTCTCGGGCAGCGTGCGAGGAGCGCGGCCGCTCCGTCCTCGCTGCGCTTTCAGCTCCAAAGTAGTAGTACGTCGCAAAGTTCGCCCGGAGCGGGTAAACGTGTGGGCTGCTCCTGCAGCTCCGCGGCACGAGCGGGAGGGGCGCGGGAGGCGGCGCCGGGCCGGGTTCCGCGCCC